GCGCTGCCACGGAGTCAATATACCTTCCCTCTGGAAATGCAATTGGTGGCTAAGGAAATGAAGACCAAGGGCAGGGGTGGGGGAGGGGCTGGGAGATTCTCTAGGTGCCTCTGGCCACTCTTGAAATCCTCCTCCCTCCCCTATTCCTGGCTCCTCACCCTTTCTGCCACCCTGCAGAAGATGGGGACTTTCACTGTGTGTGTGTAAAAACCATGTCCAAAGTCAATGCTGAATACATCTTCAAACTGGAGGTGATCAAGGCAGGACCCCACTGTGCCACCGCCCAGATGATGTGAGTTCTGGCCCTGGGCAGGTGGTGCTGCCTTTTTCCTCTCTGTCCCTCTGTCTGATCTTGTTTTGGAATCAGGGCACCAAAGGTGCATCTCTTTGCTTTTTGCTGCAGAGCTACACTGAAGAGTGGAAGGAAAATTTGCCTTGAGCGGCAGGTCTCCCTCTTTAAGAGATTAATGAAGAAACTCCTGGACAGTTAGTTTCTACCTGGCTAAATGTGTATTTTGCTATAAAACATGTTTGGGTGTTTCCCCCCACCCCACCCCACCCCACCCCCACACACATTGGCTCTAACTAAAAAAGAATCTTCTATTGCTTATATTATCCTTCAAATCTTAAATAAATAAATAATATGAATCAAGTTGTGATTTTGTCAAAATATTGCTTCATAATAGAGGAGAAAATAGTGATGCCATAACATATTTTCTTACAAGAAAACACCTCAAGAATTTTAAGCAAAAAAAAAAATGTTTTGAAGGAGGGTTTTTTATAAGGAATAAATTTGCTTGGTGCTACATGTTGGCTGATAGATATTTGAATGTTTAGGTGACTGTATTACTTAATATATGCATATTTACTGTATGTGTTACATTTGTTAATAATAGCATTTAATCATTACTAGTCTCCTAGGCTCATTTTTTTTAAATTAAGTAAATAAATCAGACCCTGATTTTATCCCTTTAAAACTTAGACTCTACTACATTATTATTAGAAAATTAATAAAAATTGAATTTGAAAAGAGTAGTTAATGTTACTCTATTAATACTTTGGGAAATTGCATTAAAATAGCTTAATCTTTATAAGGTTTTTGAAAATGTTGATATTCTACAAAAATGAAAATTAAAAACAGTTTTTGTATTCATATTGTTGCCTGCAAAGGATCCCTGTTTTGCAAACCTACCAGTTTTGTTCTTAATATATTTACATGTTAGTATTCCTCTAAGCATGCAGATGTCTTGAATAGAATTTTTTTCCCCTGGGCATTTTCAGGTTGAGGAGTTGCCTTATTTGCAGTTCACTATTCTCCCTTGCATTCCCTAACATTAAAGGTGTTAAGATTACATGTTAAACAGCCATGGAACCAGGAGCAGTGCAAGCTGATGTTTTCATTCACACTTTGGGAAGATGTTACTACACCTTGGGGAGAAGAGAAGATGTTGCAACATGGGTATATTAGTTAACTATTGCTTGTGTAACAAATTCTCACAAACTCAGTGGCTTAACAACACAAATCTATTATCTCACAGTCCT